GTTTACAGAGATTTGTAATTTTAATTTCACCCCTTTAAAAAGGGTTATTGTTAGACTGGTGCAAGCCAAGAATAAGTTATCAGTTATATTATAGTAGTATTATCCAATTTTACTTACCTATTCTCTTGCCTCTTATAATCCAACCTACAATTACCTTGAGCAACATTAAATAGGGGATGATAAGCATATTCTAAACAGTACAATGCCCTCTCTACAAGTTCAGCTGCCGTTGCTAGATCCTCGCTCAATTTACACAAATCCGATAGCTGGATTAAAGCATCCACATGGTACTGATGTTCATTGATTATGGCCACTATATTATCAGGATTTAAACTCTCTACGGCGTCCAGAAATTTGTTCTGTACCTGTCTGTAGCTCTGGCTGTGTTCGTACGTGAAATACTGTATGCCGTTTTTGTTCTCTAAATAAGCCATCGATAGGCCGGATTTTCCAGCATTGGGATAATTTTCTTTGCAGTTCACCATTGTCGTTTGTTTCACATGCCCACGTACCCCAGTCCGGTTTTTGCGTTTACTGTGAAGAAACAACAAACGTTTATAAGGAATAATGTGAGGAACAATCCGAAAATGTTATACTGCAAATGAAAGGAATACGTCAATATTTCTTTTTATTTTATTTAATTATTAAACGGGAAACCCTCATCACAAAATAACAACTGTATAATATAATATGGTTATGTCAACATATATTTAATAAATCTAAACATGTAATTCTAGAAATATAGGATGTCATATCAACCGAAATTTCTGCTAATACGGCATCCATCAAATCCTATAGAGAACCATGGAAATAAATTTACATGGTCTTCTATAGGATTCGATGCCTGGTGTGTCTCTACCACAAAATTGGCTCGCAAATGAAGTACTCGCCATAGACACCTATATACTACCGTGCTCTTAAACACTTTAAAAGAGTTATTAAAAACATCCAATCTACCCTCTCTATTTAAACATTCTAGAGATTTGTCCATAAAAGAATGTCTACAATAATTGGTTCTATGAAAATGGAAAAAAAAATATTTTGCCGTAGAGTTCTTTGTGGCACTGTAATGTTTATTTCAGACAGCAAAGATTGACTTGAGACAATACCATTTAATATTTTATAAATGAGAGAAATATCATACATAATCCTTCTTTTGTTCAGGGTAAGCAATTTTAGTTCATGTAGGACAAGAAAATAGTAATGATCAGCAATAAGATCCATGTTAAACCTATAATTACAATATCTCAAGAATTTATTTTGTATTCTCTCGAGTAATGACTTATAAACGTTATACTGAGGCGTCCAAATAATTGAACCATATTCAAGTTGTGATCTGACCAACCCAACATCTTTGATACTTTACCGCCAATTGATTGATATGCTTACTAAAACTTATTTGAGAATCAAAAAGTATTCCCAAATCGTTAGCCAATTCTTTTTCATTCAGCACATGACCATCTATTGAATAAGAGAGTGGAATCTTATTTTCCTTTTTACTGAATGAAATCTTAAAAGCATTTTTCAACATTCAGATCCAACAAGTTTAACATACACCAATCAGATAAATTATCTAGATTCCTTTGAAGTAAACTAATATCAAAATCAATCAGAACCATTAAAAATAATTTGAGATCATCAGCGAACATTAAAAATTCACAATGTTTTATACAATCTTTGAGGTCGTTGACAAACAGACTAAATAGCAAAGGAGAAGAATGCCCAGCCTGAGGAACCCCAGAGTTGACATCGATCTCTTCTGACAAAAAATTGCCAATTTTTACCATCAATTTTCTCTCACTAAGAAAACTATGTACCCATTTTGCTAAACTGTCGGAAAAACCTAGATTTTTCAATTTCTCATTCAACAACCGGTAATTAACTCTGTCAAATGCCTTGGAGAAGTCAGTATATATGGCATCTGACAGTTTACTATTATAAATAAGCATACTGGTTATCGTAGAACGACCTCCCCTAAATCCATGCTGCTCATTAATTATAATCTCTCTACACAGCCAATTCAAATAGTTATATGTTAAACTATCAAAAACTTTTGATATTGAAGACTGTATAGTTTTTAATATCATTTTTTGACCCTGATTTAAATATAGGAGAAACAAAGCTTTCTTTCTAAATGGCTGGAACTACACCAGTAGCCAAAGATATGTTAAATAACTTACACAAAGGCTGATATAATGAATATCTACACTGCTTCAAGACCAAATTAGGGATACCATCAGGATCAATCATTAATTTACTAGGCACTGACCCCAAATGTTCAAATACCTCAGCCACACTTATAACTGGACAGTTAATATTAATTTGTGGTAGATTTTTCAGGAGGCATCTCATTTGAATTTGAAAAGACTAGCAAAGTGATTAGCAAAAAGATCTACAATTTCTTGACCATCAGTAGCCATTACAGTATTCAGATTCATATTTTTTGGAATTTCATTTCTTTTTTATTTATAAATTTCCAGAAATTTCTTGGGTTCATAGTCAGATCACTGTTTAATGTGTTTAAATAATTCTTATAACACTCCTGTGTTAATTTTTTACACTGTGCTCCCACCCTACTAAATTCTCAATAATTAGTATTCTTAGACCTCTGATATTTTTTGTTTGTTTTTTTTTTTTAAGAGAAATCAATCTCCTTAAATCGCTAGAAAAGTAAGAAGGGAAATTGGATGATTTAAATCTTTTCTGTGGAATGAAACACTGAAAACCATAGTTTATAATTCCATAAAATTCCTAAACAATATCATTTATATCACTATTATTAAAGTATGATAGTAAACCAAATTCAGTACTTCTTGTGAAATTGTAATATGACATGGTAATGTTTTTTTTTTGCGAAATATATATACTTTTTTAAATATTTTTTTTTTCAAAGTGTATTATTGGTACAAAAAGAGCAATGAAAATGCATTATTTTGCCAGAAACTGGTTATTAAATTTAGCAAAATATTTAAAAGGGGTGGTCAAAAGTAATTTTCTCTCTTTTTTTGAGAATGACCCATTTATTGCTTTCATTTGCACCAAACTTTATAAAATAAGTAATACAGTGAAGAAATTTATTAGATCAGAGGACCAGAATTAGAGGAAATGAAACAACACTTACTGTTCACTTTGGACGATTTTAGAACCGAATATTCTTTTTAATTCATTATTGGGGTTCAAATGCTTGTGTTGTATGGATAATGAATTTTTCCTGAAGTTCGTCTTCTCATGTTTTACATATGGATCGTTTGACGACTTCGGCATGTAGTTTTCTCCCAATAGTTTATTGACTTCCCTCAACGACCTTTCCACCTCATCAACCTTAAGAATGATAAATACAAATAATACATAGGCAATATTTATATACACTTGCATGGGTGTGAATATTGTATGGTGGTGCTACCACGCATCTACACTCCTTTCTTAGCTGCACAGAATCATGACGTCAGTTTGGGATTAGAATTGTACAAAGTTCAGGAACGGTAAAATAACTTTGTAAGATGTAACCATTTTTAATTTTGTAGGGATATACAGTGTAGCCGACTTAAAAGCGGAGCACCCTGTAAAATGCCCATTTGTTAACGGTTCCCATTTTCTCCTTTTTTTTATATATAAGGATATAGAACCATAAAAAGTGTAATATTTTTAATCTAAAAAAAATACAAATTTTTTTTTTTGATGCCAATAACAGAAAATGTTTATTACAGATTAAAAAAAAAAACACTGTTATAACAATATTATTTAGGAAACGCACTATTTGCGTCTATTTTTCATGCAGATTTTGGACAAATTACGAAAACTGGCAAAATTGGTAGACATCCTTCAACTACAAGATTACACACAACAAGAGTGTATGATTTCCACAATGGAATGGCATCAATTTTAGTCTAAAATTTCCCACCATTATTCAATGCCTCGAATCTAAAGAGCCAGTTTTAAAAGCGGTTTTTTTGGTTACCATAAGTAATGCCCTGTTGCCGATTCGTAGAAAAACCTAGATGTACAAATTAAAAAAAAAAAAAAAGATGTTGATCTAAGAGACCATGGGAGGTCGACCTTCGCCCATCTGATAACCAGAGGCATATTTTTTATAAAATTTTATTCATTTATTAACACGGGAACTTGCCATTTGAAAAGTGTTCATGGATATTTTTAATTAAATACATTTTATTCAATTCTTTTTATAACCTTCACTTTTTTGATAACAGAACAAATTTAATTTTAACAGACAGTTTTTAACATGGAAAATATGCCTCAGTAGGCTTGTTTACTTATTTCTGCTCATGGCTACCTAGCAAGCAGGTATGAACAGGTAAGTCAATATAGGTAACTACACCGATATGTCAACCAATAAAAATTGATATCAGAAGAAAGATAATTTAATTATGAAAATAATCGTATAGGCTTGCCTGCAAAAAACTGTTCATGAAATACTAATGCATTGCTTTAAAGTTTTAAAATCCGAGCAATTAAAACTTTAAAGCAAGCCTATTCGCTCAGTGCGAAGTCATGGTAGGGGAATCAAAAGCGATACTAGCGCTAGCTGCGGATAATTCGTGCATTTTAGGGCGATATTTTGTAATTTTGGCATATAAAATACACGTACGCATTTTTTTTTAAAACGTAGGTAAAAACAATACAATCAGCAACAAGAGTTGCTGTGTTGAAAATTGTAAAAATACTAGCAAAAAACCACTGAAAATTATAAAAATTTTCAGTAGCAAAGTGGAAATTAAATCAAGGAAATAAATGGTGTACAATAAGAATACAAATTACCTTTATTTTTGTAATAATAACAGTAATACTGGAAATAGTAGACATCAGAAACTTGAAAGGTTTTAAATAAACAATAAATTATCATTTTACTATGTTCTTCAACATCCCGTTATTCTTAAATGTTCCATCAAGGACTAGATTTCAAGATTTCTGCCTTTGATTATTGTATGTGCCTGGAATGCAATTTTGTTACTTACTGATAGGAAACCAGTTTTAATCATTCATTCTGTTTTCTTTCGAACAAAAATGAAAATATAAATAACAATCCTTCAATTCATACATTTTAACTTCACGCTATTATTTAGCGGTATTTTTTTATTTTGACAGAATAGGTTTTTAGGCATTCCAAACTGAATGACTACCAGTGGGTTTTGACAGGTTATGATATGGCAAAATTATGACAACCCTGTAGGCCTGGTGATTTGACAAGGTCAATGAAATAGATAGTTACATAGATTGATCATCCATATTTTTTTAAATAAACATAAGCTTATGCCTTGAAGTAAAAATGTAAGCAATTAAATTTTTTTAAATATCTAAAGACTGAAAATTGGTTTTAAAATACATTTTTGCTAAACTGATTCAAATTAATAAATATTTGCCAGGCAATATGGTTGCTCGCAAACGACCAGCTTTGAGCAATCTATATAACTATATATGTATCATTGACACAACAGGGTTGCCATATCTAAACTGTCAGTCCCCACTGGTAGCCATTTGGACAGGTCGTTGGAATGCCTAATTATTCAAAGACAACTTATTAGACTTAGGCAACTTCTCATACATTTTCCCGTAAATACTGTTGCCTGCCTTTATTTTATTACTGATTTTTATTGATTAGATATATTTTTTTAATTTAAGGAATAACAATATATAATAATAATAAATTAATGTTTTACTTGTTTTACAAATCCATATACTTAGAGTAAAACTAACATATATACTTTTTAATTACGAAAATTACGAAAATTGTATTGTTAGTATACGCAGAAATAGTCCATTAGTACCTAAAATAATTGGCGTTGCTGTCACGCACGGAGCGAATAGAATTATTTCCATAATTAAATTTTCTTTCTTCTAATATCAATTTTTATTGGTTGACATATCGGTGTAGTTACCTATATTGGTTTACCTGTTCTTACTGGCTTGCTAGGTAGCCATGAACAGAAATAAGTAAACAAGCCTATTCATGCATATTTTCCATGAAAAAAACTGTTTGTTAAAATTAAATTTGTTGGGTTATTAAAAAAGTAAAGGTTATAAAAAAAATTGAATAAAATTTATTTAATTAAAAATAACCATGAACACTTTTCGAATGGCAAGTTCCCATAGGCGTGTTAATAAATCAATAAAATTTCATAAAAAATATGCCTCATCTGGTTATCAGATGGATGAAGGTCGACCTCCCACAGTCTCCTCTACAAATACACATACAAACAGTAATGGGTCTAACTACCTAGTAGAGCATCATCACATGTAGCTCTAAAGTGGTTCCAGTCTTATTTGGAGACTAGAGTACAGAGTTTCTTTCAACAAGCAAACATCAATATTTTTATGATTCACTGTGGGATTCCGTTCTGGGACTGGTTTTATTCCTAGTTTATGTTAATGATATTATTAATGTCAATATTAATGGATACTTCACCATATTTGCAGATGATACAACAATACTCTGGGAGAGTGAGAATATTGAAGAGTTGTCTAATACTATTAACAAAGGCATTATTAAGATTAAAGAATGGTGTAATTCAAATTATTTATCTCTTAATAAATCAAAAACAAATATAGTATCATTCAGTGGCGATATCGCTATAATTTCAGTTGGACAGCAACAAATTTGCAAAAAAAAACCCAAAAATAAATTCTTAGGCTTATTCAATGACCAGAAATTAAAATTTGAAATACATGTTAATAGTTTGTGTAAAAAGCTGTCCTCTGGATGATTTGCAGTAAGAACTGTTGCATACAACTTAGATATTTCAGTTGCAAGGAGTGTGTACTTTTCATTGGTAGAATCCCATCTGCGATATCGATGGCTTAAGTGCAAAACGTCATAACCCACAAAATTTCAAAAAATTGCTTTTCACGTCATTGGAGTTGTATGTTTTAGCTGCGTCTTGTGAAAAAATATTGTAAGCAACAGTATAAAATGAAATTAATTTACGTGCCAAAACAAAAAGTTGCTCTTCGAAATTACATCTAAAGTCTATTTGGTTTTTTTATTCCCCTGTAAAATTTACTTTTTGGGGTTACGACGTTTTGCACTTAAGCCATGGATATGCTATAAGTTTCTGGGGAACATGTTATTCCAAGTTGTTTACTTTGTTGATAAGAATGTAATTATTTCTTCAACAATAAAGAAATTTTTACTTGATTTGAGCTTTAAAGTTGGAAGATTTATAAATGAAGCGCAATATATATTTTTTTATAATGTTACTGGACTTATTTGCCTTAAATATAATTATAAATAATTACTGCTTACATCTGCATTATCTTCACTACTTCTTTGAGTGCTGGTATGTTTCCCAGACTTTTTCTTCTTCTTTTTCTTTTTCCTTTTTATTTCGTGATGTTCTCCTTCACAAGATTTGGCTGCCTCTGTCTCATTATCATCCTCCTTAACTTCACTCTCTGAATGAGATTGTTGATTTAGCTGTAACGTATGTTTACCGAATTTCAATATTAAACACATTTTGATGCACATTAATAAAAATGTAATATAACTAGATCCTTGTTACATCTTTAAATAAAAGCATGTAGAAGTACTTATTGATTATTAAAGAAAATTAACTCTTGCTTATTTAATTGGACCAACATCTGGTATAATCTGCTAGGATATAATTGTGAATATTAAAATATAATTTGATTGTAAAAATTCTCAAAATAATTAATCATCTTCATACAACTGATGTATTGTTAAAATTCTCCTCATACCTGACCACAATAAATAAAATATCGGGCTGTTGATTTATAAAATTAAAGGTGAAATACGAAATTCAGTACTTACCAAATCGTAGCGGTTTATATTGAGCTGTTTCCGCCTTGCACCTCCACTTACTGGAGTATCGGTTTCTGTGTCCGAAATATCTTCATTAAACTCCTTGTCCTTATCACCTTGTAGTTTTCTTAACACACGAGACGACATTACAGATGTTACAACAATCAGAAGATAAATTATTTAATAAAATACAATTTTTAAACGATTTTTTCATAGCAATATGACATGGTTTGTTTTGACGAATGATGATGACAAATGTCATCAAACGTCAGAATCATGTAGTGCTGCAGTTTGCAGTGTTGCCATTTTAATAAAAATTCGTACTAGAGATATTAGGTTCTTTCGTTTATTGTATTATCCGAGTCGCACAATCTAAGTATGTGACCACATACTTTGATTTTCTTTTACTATACGGAGAATGGTCGCACTGCGCAGCTTTCTGAGTGCCTTTTAAAAGGAGATAGAAAACTTCGCCATTTTGAACCCTTATTACGTGTTGCCTACATCTTGGCGCAATATTTTTAATAGGTGCGTTTTAATCATCCGCTTCTGCTTCGGAATTGTCGGTTTTCTTGTTTTAATCTGACAGGTTAAAACGACTAAACCGACAATTCCGGAAGCAGAAGTGTATGATTAAAACGCACCTGATATTTTGCTTGCTGCTGTCAGTGTTAGTGAATATTATTTTTGAAGTCACAGTTTATTGCTAAAGAATCAGTTAGCTCACTCGGACCAGTTGAAAGTTCCAAAATAACATCCACTCCAGGGATACAAATTCAGGATACGCAGAAGACTACTGTTTTATTATAGGCGGTTGTCATATATTGTATTATCCGAGTTGCACAGTGTATAAACTGAAACATTGAGATCAAAAGTGCCGACGCAGAGTGAGCGATCTGATTCTTTAGCTGTAAACTGTGTCACAGGGTTCAAAATGGCCGCGCCCTATGTTGGGTGTGTCGGACCTCTCTCTTGCCTCGTATAGTAATCAAAGTATGTGTATGTGATAATAAACTTCATACGTAAAATAAACATTTAATTATTTGTGTAGTTTAAATAATATACTACACAATAAATATAACTCCTCGAATATGCCCTACCACCACTACCAAATTGAAGGCACAAACATGAACACCTACTCGTATATCAGAAAAGAGCACTTATACAAAATAGTGTTTATAAAATATAAAATAATTATCGTAAAATAGTTAAAGCGATACAAATATGTAACCAGTCGTTTATTTACTTAAAACACATTCATTTGTCATCGCTTACAAAATTTTATTCTATATTTAACGCATCATCACAGCTTATACATCATCATCTTTGTTTAAATAAAGATGTTGACAAACAAATTTAATAAAGTTTACTAACAAATACCTAATAAATAATAAATAATTATTTGGTATTTGATCCGCCGCCTATGTTACTTTCCGTCGGAATTTTCATTCATAGACAACAGTGTTGATCACGCATGTGACTCACCTTCTCCAATATTTTGTTCTAGTATAAAACAAAATTGAAACCGTTAACTTTGGTCTTTGGATGTCGTTGCAAAGTTGATCATAGGCGTTATCTCGTTCTAACTTATTTTTGTACTTATAAGTCGCTACACTATATACTGACATTCCGGAGGTGCTCATGTTTTCTGTAGGTAATTGTCAGAAAATGCATCGGTTTGCTCACCACTCTATCAAAAAATAATTTTCATCAACAACATGTATACACCACAGAATAACCACTCAGGTATACACTCCAATGACTTCAAACTAGCAAAACTGAACACATGTTCTCACACTTTGTGTTTATTATTCGATAATGATCCGCCAAAATGCAGAAAAAGAAGAAGAGTAGTTTTAATTTTAACTGAAAGTGCCAATGTACTGATCTTTTTTAATAAGTGTTCTCACGTTCATTATTTGTTCATTATCACTGAATCGGGAAAAAGTTGCTTCAGTGAACTGACCAGTGTCAGAACCCCCCCCCCCCTCCCCCTTTAGGCAAGATATTGCAAAGATCTTTTTAAGTGCATCTATCATGGACTTCATAAGACTTATATATGCTAACATACGGTGCAGTTGTCTGGTTATCGAAACCCCAAAAATTGACAGCTATCCGCAAACTAGAACCAGTTCAAAGAAAGCATGTCTTAACATTACAGGGGCCCAATTCCTGACGCCTTCGTTAACTTATCGCATGCGATAACGTATGCGACTTGATGAAAGTGTATTCCTGAACTGGCGGCATTCGTCAAATTTATTAACGTATGCGCTAAGAAATGATGATTTTCAAAGAGCGCTCATGACCGTTCGACAACTACTTTGTCGCATTCGTTTAGGTGAAAGTAAGGTTATAATTGTCAATTAATCCTGCTTTATCATATGTGATTCGTTTTTCTATCTATTGGTTTTGTTTTGTGATTTATTATTGGGAAATATTTATTTTTAATTTGACTCTATTGAACATTTTATTAGAATATAAAAATGAAACTTTTTGTACCGTGAACTCTTTTATTGGACGTTTAGGTGCCACTTTATTTTAGTTTATTTTATTTAGTATGTATGATATAGAAGAAATATGAGTTTTACAGGCACTAAGCAATGTTATAAATTCTACTAAAGTTTCACGCAATTTTTCCGTTATTCGTGAACCACGCTGTTCCATTTTTAATATTCTAAATCTAAACCACTCCAATTCTCAAGTCCAAAATACAAATAATCACAGTTAAAACGTCTAAAAACCAAAAATTATTAGACATCCAATCCATTTAATTTTATAATTTTTGGCAATTTTGACATGTGTCAATGCAATTATCTCATATTCAGTGATACCATCTTTGGTATTCTCAATCCTCATTGGTTAAGATTATGCAATAATCAAAGACTCTTCGTTAACACGTTCGACTTGATTCGCGATTATCGCATGGTGTTCAGGAATACTAAATTGCTGTCGTATGCGTTAACGACCATGCGTTACTTAGCGCATGCGGCAGTTAACGCATGTTTCGAGAATTGGGCCCCAGGAGCCATGAAAACCACACCGACCAGAGCCAATCATTCTTAGTCTCACTTCCCTTGATATTTACTTCAAGGAGGTTGTCCTGATCATGGAGGAAGGATAATTATCCTGATGACAATAACATGCCTCCGCACGGTCGGAATAGAACTGATGTAGGATCTGGAGAGGCGAGAAGTCACTTTTGGCAGGAGGCGCTTGATACACTCACACTGCTTCAAGCGAACGTGGACTCCATCTCACCGAGATATATCTTCCATAAGCTATATAAAGTTATTACAGATGAACAAATAGAAGAGCCGGAAGTGGCAGGTACGATTCATTTCTACACAAAGTGTTCTAAAACAAAATAAGGCGCAGAATGTGGAATATTCTACAGATTCTTAAACCTAGACATATAATGGACTCTGAGCCATAGGGCATGTAGTTTAAACCGAGCTCACGGTGATTCTTTTAGCAGCAAAAAAATCAGCAGAAATATCACTAGAAGGAACATGCTCATCTATACGAATTTACAATGAATTTACTCAGGGTTAAACTAGAATATCACGAGGCTTTGGCCGAAATATCCATCAACAAGGTGGTAAACTTAAGATGGATCAAAGATCACGCCACATCGAAAGGTAACCGTCTTGCTTTTTCACTAGCCAAGAAGGCAACCAACCAAATACTTTTTGGACCTGGCCATTCTATCGGACTGACAACATCGGTAGTGACAAACCTAATTAAAGAATATTCATTGTGAGATACAAGGAAATATGGGATGGAAAAAGAAGCTGAAGACTTGCTACGAAACTTTTAAGTTATCCTGACAACATTACAGCAAACAAATACTTGACTAGGACTAGAGAGAATCTGCGCCTGAAGACAGGCATTCTGACTGGTCATTGCCGAATACAGAATCCACACTCTGCAAGGGGTGCGAACAATAAGATGGGACCATCGAGCATATCCTCTACGATTGCCCCACGTTTTCATTTATTAGAAAATTTGTATTCGACGAGATTTGGCTGATATAAGAGAAGCACCTCCTCTTGGCGACGTGGTCAACTGTATTAAATATGTAGGCTGGCTCACGAGCTAGGAGGTGTCTATCTACTTAGGAGGATGCCCAATGGGCCTAGTGAGGCCTAAGTGCCGTGGGTTTAAACCAACCTTCATTACAGATATTTACAGATGTATCTATATAACATTTTAATTTTACTTTGTTTAATGTTCATTAAAAAAATTATACCGAATTTTCTTAGCCAAAAATAAATTAATATTTTTACTTATTCTCTTGATTATGACAATTTATTAGTTATGTTCGTAAATCTTATTATTTACAACCGTTTCAGTTAATTAATACGGCTAAAAGTTAAATTTTTTATTTTGTTTGCGTCATATTTATTTTTTGTAAGTTTTGAAAATGGATTATATATAAGTAATAGTAATAGTAGTTTGTGCAACAAGAGTGGATATGATGGCAATTTCGCACGAAGACGAAATTTGAGCACGACGCCGTAGGCGGAATACTCAATCGTGTGATTGCAATATGGACAATCCACTCGAGTTGTACAGTATATTTTTTCTACGACCCACTAACGAAAATCTACAAATTAATTTATATATTAATTATTCAACTACTTTAATAGTATCAATAAATAAATAAATAGCGTTTTAATAGTGAGTTATTAAAGAGTTGAAGTGTTTCCAGTACGTTAACGTAAACGTGAACGTCAACGCACAAAAATAATTACGTTGAAGTCCAAAAAATGAGTTGAAGTTGTTAAACGCATCAATACATTTACGTGCCATGACAGATAATGACAATTCATATTAGGATTTCTTCTTTCTCAATTAAAAAGAGGTTACTTTATTTACGTGCATACGCCAGAGCCCGTAAGCTTACGTTTGTACGTAAACGTGAACGTGAAGGATAAATGAATACGCATGCTCGGATGTCAGTTTTCACGTATACGTTTACGTTCCTAGCATCACTTCAACTCTCTATTATAACTCACGCTGGGCTCCTACGATAATTCAGTATGTAAATAGTGTGCCCAATAAATACTTGGAAATTTTAAAGTTCATAAATACGTTCTATTGGCGTAAAATGTTAGAAGCATTTTTTAACAACTGGAAAGGATGATTATTTAAAAGATTTTAAAATGATTAAATTGCCAACGCCTCTCAGTAGTCGGAAAAGTCAATTATTATCATTGAGGGAAGTAATGTCATTTGATATTTTATCAAGATAATTTTGACGTTTTCAAATCAATTTCAAATAATA